ATCAGTCAGAGCTGGGTGTGTGGTACATGCCTGTAACCCCGGCACTCAGGAGGCTGAAACATAAGGATCATATGAGTTCAAGCCCAGCCTCAACTACATAGGGAGACCATGTCTCAAAGCAAAACAGGAGAAAACAAAATAAATAAAATTTATTTAAAAGACCAGTCGTTTGGTTTTTTGAAACAGGATCTTGCTACTGTGTATGGTTTAGGCTCATCTTAAAGTATAGAGCCCAGGCTGGCTTTGAACTCAAAACCATCGTGCTTCAGCCTCTCCAATGCTGGGATTACAGGATGCACCACTACTAAATGCTAAAACAGGCATTTCCATTTTCTACTTTTTACACAGGACCTAAACAAAAAGTAAGTTCTCTGGGGTCAGAGAAACAATAATGACAGAGTCAGGATTCAAATACTTATGTTTGACTTTAAAATCTTTATTTGAGGGCCGGCCAAATAGTTCAGCGGATTAAACAGCCTGCAAGCAGGTGCAGGGGCCGGGGTTCAATCTCTGGGCCTGCAGTGCCCGACCAGCCCCGGGGGTGTGCTGAGATGGCAACTGAGACTGGGCATGGTGGCACAAGCCTGTAACGGATCACTGCTTGTGCGATCCAGTAGTGAGACCCTGAACACCCTGTAGACCCTTCCCTAAAATACAAAAAATAAAATAAAATAAAAAATAAAACCTTTATTCCTTCCCCTATCGTTTATTACATATATAAAACACAAACATGAAATCATCCACTTGTCACTTGTCTTTTAAAAAGGAAAACAATCGCTTTAATTAAAATGAGAAAGATGGTATGTATTTTGGGATGAATTGGTTCCTAAAAATGACTGATAATTATAAATACACTAGAAGAATACATAATTACTCTTAGAACTTCTTACACTTAAAATTCTACTTTTTTAAAATATTCTTTCAAGCATAAAATACTGGACAAGAGTTGGTTGAATGAACATAGAAGAAAAGTAAAATCCCAAAGTGAATACAGACCATACCCCGGAAAAGAGAAAATGATATTAGTTCTAATTCTAAGCCAATCCTCCCCTTCTTTTCAGTACCATTGAACCCAGGGCCACCGAGCTACATCCCCAGGCATTTGTTTATTTTTTTGAGACAGGGATGTCTAAATCGCTAAATTGCCCAGTCTGGGCTCAAATTTGTGATCCTCTTGGCTGTGCATACAAGTCTTCTGGGATTACAAGTATGCATCACACCAGGCCAGCGATAAAATCTACTCATCACCGGGTCTCACAGTGTTCTCCGGTTGTTCTACAGCACCACTGGCCATCTCTACAGTTTATAGGAACCTCGTTTTCCTCATCGTCCAAACTTTCCCCAGCCTGCTCATTAAGGCTTGCTCACAGCATCAATGCAGCTAGCCATGTACCGGTCACCCTATACAGAAGACCGTTAAGTGAACTAAACTGGTAAACTTATCACACCTTACAAAAAAAAAAAGAGAAAAGTGAAAAGAGAAAAGAAAGGAAGAAAAATATTAACAGGATTTAAAGTTAAGAGGTGTTGGATACTCTCAACCTGGGTGCAATGCCTCTTTTTTTTTTTTTTTTTTTTTTTTTTTTTTTTTTTTAACAAGGGTCGCCATTGGCTCAGAAAGGATGTGACAGCTTAAGGACAAAGCATGAGTTGGCAGCGGTGCCAAAGGGTGAAGCTGGTCACCACCCACCGCTGTTCATCACACCACTCGGGAGAGCCTTTCGCTGGCCCGGCCCCGAGCGCTCTGAAAGTCACACCCTGTCCCTAGGGGAAGCTTTCCTAGGTACAAACGGGTCAGCTGCGGGCCCCAAGTTTAGGCTGTACGGGGAGAAAAACCGTGTCTCAAGCAGCTGTACACGACGTCAAGCCGAAATCTGGGCCCCTCTGCCCTCACGCCACCGGCTGCACCAATCTCCACGAGCCGGGCCCCGAGGCTGGCGTCCCGGTCCCCTCTCCCAGCCACTCGTTGGTCGCATCTGGGTCCCAAAACTATTCGAAAAAGGTGGTGCAGGAACAAAGCAGCCCTTAGCGGTCCCCCGCGGAGGTGGCTTTGGGCTCCGCGCCCCGACACGCAGCGCGCCGTCGCCCCTCGGCTCCGCCACGCGGGCGGCGCGGTGGCCGCCGGGACGCGTAGTCTGCGGCGGAGGTGGGGGCGCGGACCGGCCGCGCTGAGAGCAGCCCAGCAGCCTGTCGCCACCCGGCCTCACCTCCACGATGCGGGCGCACTGGGTCCCCTTGCCGGCTCCGGGACCGCCGAGGACGAACACGACCAGCGGCTTCATGGGGCGAGGAACGCAGCGGCGCAGCCGGCAGGTCAGCAGCGGGAAGCTCGGGCCCACGACGTGCAGCAGCCGGCAGTGGCAGCGGCTCAGCATACACCGCGTCTCTGACAGCGGCGGGGAAAGGGGCGGGCCGAGCGGGCGCCGGGCCCCGCCGCCCAGCCGCCGGCGACCGCCGCGGCCGGAAGGGGCGGAGCCTCCGCTGCGTGTACGTCTGCGCCCGCTTCCGGGTGCTCTCGTCGGGTGGGCTCGGTTCCAGCCTCCTGATCCGCGTCAGCCGTGGAAGAGGCGGCCTTCGGCGTCAGGCCAGGGACGCTTAGTCCAGGGCCGCCGTGGACGCGGAGCCGGCGAGAGGCTGGCACGCGACGCCCAGCAGCGCCAAATCCGTTGTCTGTGTCGGCCGGATTTTCCATTCCGGGAGAGTCCGCACGTATAGGCATAGACCAAGGAAGAACCAGGAGCATGATTTGGTTAAGGTGGTCACCTCTTCAGTGGTGACATTTCAGCCAAGACGTAAGGCTGGGAGAAAGCCAAACCAGGAAAAGACTGCTTGGAGTATCCCACAAGGGAGGGAAGCGCGGAAGGCCAGTGAGACCTTGGCTGTGCGAAGTGGGAGGGCGCAGGGTGCTGCTTTCAGTTCCTACCTCCTTCTTTTCCATGTGTACTTTTGCCTTCCAAGCATTGGAAGGAACAATGACATTGCAGATTCTCACAGCTGGAGAAGTCTTATTATTGATAGTCCTTCATTGTTTTTGTTAAGCCTTCTCATAGCTGTGTCTTACTGCTGTAGGTGATGTAGTTACTGTTAAGTAACTTTTTTTTTTTTTTTTTTTAAGACAAGGTCTTGCTGTATAGCTTAGGCTGGCCTAGGGCTTGCAGCAATCCCCCAGCCTCAGCCCCCCAACTGCTAGGATTATAGGCATGCACCACCATGGCCAGCAGTAAACTCATTTTGTAGATGAAACTTGAAGCCAAAAGTTGTCTGGCCAGTAAGGTTCAAGAGCTATATATCTAAGTCTGTGTCTCATTTTGTATCGCTGTAGCCACATATCCCCTTATGTAAACAGCAGAGTGCACTGAGTTAAAAAGAATACTGTATACAGTTCATAAATCCACACTCCATGTTATCAATAAAAACAAAGAAAGTACTTTGCCGAAGATATTGCCACACTTTAATACACATATCAGGACTGAGAAGGAATGATTTTCAGGAGGCTTCTGACCCAAAGTAGGGAGGCTTACTTTGAAGTCTATATTTCTTCTAATAATTTACTCTGACCATAAGAAACGCCTGAGTCTTTGAACTTCATTTGTGGAGGGTTTTGAGTTTTTGAGGATATTTTTAAACTGGGAAATGGAGAGAGGGGTGAAATGAAAGTCTTTGGTATAAGAGGCTGTAAAGCCCACCAAATAGCTCAGCGGATTAAAGCGCCTGCAAGCAGGCACAGGAGCCGGGGGTTCTGGGATTGCAGGCTTGGTAACAGCGGATCACTAGGAGTCCAATCTAGTAGTGAGACCCTCAACACCGTGTAGACCCTTCCCTAAAATCAAAACAAAACAAAAACATGTTGTAGCTTAATTTAACCTCAACACAAGACTTTAAACCCTGCAGTTGGACAGCACCTGCCTGGAAAGTGAGAGGTTGTGAGTTTGATTCCTGGTACCAGAATGAATAAATAAACCCTCCAGCTGCTTGGGAGAGGAGCTAAGACAAAGGAACTGGAAAAAAACAACTGGTTGAGCTAGAACAAAGGCAACTGGAAACAAGGAGAACTGGTTGTATTAGGAAAGGGTGGCACTAAGAGATTAGTGAAACATCTTATTAGAAGACTTAGTTATATTTGCTTATTTGACTCTTAATGGTAAATTCAGAGTAGTTTATTTTGTGTGCATCCAGTTTTTGTTTTGAATTAAATTACAGTTTCAGAAATATATAAGCCATTTATTATCCTACTATCCTGGGCTATTGACATTTAATTTTCTGCTTGTCCACTTGTTGCAGTCTAAGTCCTCTAATCATACTCTGTAACCAATATAAAGATTTACTATGCATGTAATAAATTTGAGTGTCTCAAACTAAAAAAATAGTGAACTTTACCACATATAAAGAATGTTAATGGGGCCAGGGAGATGGCTCAGTGGAATAAGCGCTTCCCTGGAAAACGCAAGGGCCTGAGTTCAATCCCTGTGTTCCACCAAAAAAAAGAATGTTAAATGTGTAACTTGAGTTTTCTTATTTTTAAACTGCTTTTTTTCTCTTCAAATAAAATTCTAGATATACTTGGAGGGTTTTCTTTTTAATTGTCTATAAGTTATTAAGTGAAAATATTGTTTTTAGAGTACTAGACCCAGATATTGGCTTCATCATTTACCCTTTGAGGTCCTCACAACTTACAGATTTTAGTCTGATTTCTTTCCACTAGAAATATCTTATCAGAATTTGTAAATTTATTCCCTATTATTGTAAGTTGGCCTAACAGAAGACAAATCAGATCATTTCATTTATTTTATAAAGGATTATAAAAACAGACTTTTTAAAGATTATTTTATACATATTATATGAAGAAACATATTTTTATTAAATGTTTCAATCAACCAAATAATTTTAAAGTTACTATGTTAATTATATCTTTCAGGAAAAATAATTGTAGCAGCTGATATGTAAATGATTTAAAACTATTTTAGTAATTTAAATAAATGTACTTGATTTGTTAAAAAAAAAAAAAGGAAAGTGTGGCAGAGATATAAAAAGTGACATCAAAGAAAATGTGTCCTCCTTGGGGGCTGGTGAGATGCTCAGTGGTCTAAAGCACCTACTTAGAACAAGCTTAGCAAAGCACAGGGACCATGGTTCAATCCCCCAGCACCACATGCCTGCCAGCCCCGCCCCCTGGTGGGCTGAGCTGGCCACACACACACACACACACACACATAAATAAATAAATAAAATTAAAAAAAATGTGTCCTCCTTTATGCATATTCTCTTACATGACTTTTCTATATTCTGGCAATTAAACCTGAAAGATCTTAAGGATTTGGGGTCTGTAGGAAAGGGTCTGGGAAGCTATTGGCATGCCATTTGGAAAGTCTTAGGCTAAAGGCAAAGAGACAGTTTTTGTTGTCTCTGTAGTAGGCGACCAGACTAATGTGCTACTTAGGAGTTTGTACCCAAAATTTCTTTGTGTATCTACTTAACAGCAAAACAATGATTTTCTTGTGTCTCCCCATATAACTCTGACCATAGTAGGTTACTGCTTAATGTTTTGTGCCTTGCTTATCTCCTGCCAACTGTGCAACTAAGGAAAATAGTAGTATAGAGAGATACAAAAGATAAACCTCAGATACCCATCTTTGCTAAGGATTTCCCCCGTAGTAACTGCTTTTTCGTTGCTGGGACAAATACCCGACACCCAAAATGAAGGAAGAGAAGATTCATTTACTCACTGAATGGAGGTTTCAGTCCATACTCGGCTGGCTCCAAGGCAGAGTGACACGTGCTAGAGAGCAGCCTTGCATGGCGGAAGCCAAGAGCAGATGGGGAATGGAGACTGTCAATTTTTAAAATCCAGGCCAAAAGGCTGCTACAGCAACACTTCTGTTGTGTTTCAGTCAACCAGGCAAAGAATCCAGACTAAGAGAGAAGGTACATAAGCCCTACTTCTTAGTAACAGTAAGTGTAGTGTCCAGAGCTAATTTGGTTTGGTTTTTTGAGACAGGGTCATGTGTAATTCATGTTGGCCTTAAATTCACTGTTTAGCCAAGGCTGCCCTTAAATTCATAGTGATCCTCCTGCCTTGGCCTCCCAAATGCTGGGATTAAGAATATGTACTACCTGGAGCCATGCTTTAAAGCTACCACAAGGTCTAGAACCGTTTAGCAGGACTTTAGGATTAGTAAACTGGGCTGGGGTTTATGGAGCTTAGAGAAAATCTGTTGCTTAGAAAACTCTTGTGTGATACAAAAAGATTTGGAGGACCTCTCTTCTCTTATGTGCCTCCCTGGAAACCCCAGCCAGATACAGAAGAGCACTCAAGAAATAAACCAGAGGTCAGAGTCCCCAAGCAGCTTTCCTTTTTTCCTGTGATATTAGACTTTAAATCTAGGGTCTGTCATGAATTCTAGGCACATGTTCTATCACTCAGCTATATTCCCAACCATCTCCCACTTTTGTTTTTGTTTTTTGTTTTTTTTCCTGTGGTACCAGGGATGGAATTTGGGACCTTGCACTTGCCAGGCAGGTGCTTATGCCACTGAGCTATGTCCCCAGATCAATAAGAATTTTTTTTAAATTTTATGTATTTGATATAGGGTCTCACTATGCAGCTCAGACTTGGCGATCCTGTTTACAGCTTCCGAAGTGCTGGAATTACAGGGGCATGCTACCACGCCCAGTCTCAACTGCCATCTCAGTGTGCCCCAGGGGACAGGCCCTGGGGATCGAAAACCCAGCCCCTGTGTCTGCCTAAGCAGGCACTTTAATTCTCTGAGCTATTTACCACAGTGTTAATCTTTTAAAGTATATCCATTTTTCTTTTTCTTCTTTTTTTTGGTAGGACCCGGGATTGAACGTAGGCACTTGTACTTGCCAGAGAAACGCTTATTCTACTCAGTCATTTCCCCGGCCCCTCCATTTTTCTATAAATGACTCAAATGTATCCTTCCTTACAGCACCATAGTATACTCTATTGTGTGTAAATCTCATATTTTCTTTATCCATTCATCTGTTGATAGACATATGCACTTCTAAAATTTGTGCTGCTAGAAGCATGAGTATGCAAGTATCACTTAATTATGTCTTTAATGCTTACAAGAAGATTCCTAGAATGGGAATAGCTGGGTTGAATTGAATTTCTATTTTTAGGTTTTTTTGAGGACCCTCAATTTGCATAGTGGCTGTACTAGTTTACTAGCTTTTTCCTTAAAGCTATAACAGCATTTGTTCTTATTTGATTTCTTGATAGTATATATTTTTTCTGGAATAAGATGTAATCTCAGTGTTGTTCTAATTTGTATTTCTCTATGGCCAGAGATACTGAACAATTTTTCATGTTATTGGCTATTTATATTCTTCTGAGAAAAGTGTCTATTCATTTCAGTTGCCCATATTTTAATTGGGTCTTTTATTTTTGATGGTCTAATTATTTTGAGTTCTTTATATATTCTAATTTCTCTCTGAGAGTAGCTTGAGAA